TCGGCTGAAGCCGTTGACTAGCTGTGACTTAGGCAAATTACTAAACCGTTCTGGGAATACTTCCTGAAATAAGAACAATAATATGCCTGCCTCATAGGGCTGTAGCGAGACGTCAATGAGGTAACACATGAAATCACTTAGCGTGGTGCCCGGCAGTCAACGTTCAACAATGTCATCACTATTATTATTAAACATCAGTCCATGGCGAAGTGCAGCCATGCAGGCAGCTGGGGGAGGGGAGGGGGGGAAGCGCTCAGGAGGCCAAACCCGCCTGGACGGCACCAGATGACCCTTAGGACCCTCTACTGCGGCTGCCCAGGCATCTAAGAGCCCAGGCTTCCTTGCTGCCAGGCCAGGGGCTGGTGGCCAGCGGTCAGTGTCCGCCCCAACACATGCCTCCATCAGCCTGAGCAGCTACTGGCCACCTTCTTGGCCAGAAGTCACCATGACTGGTGACCGACAGGTGCATGATCTCTAGGGAAATGCCTCAGTGACCAATACTGTGACGTGAGCCACACCTCCCGTTGGACCAGCCTTGCCAAGCAGCCTGCGTTGATGCCAGATAGAGTCTAATGCAGCGGTTCTCAACCTGTGGGTCTCGACCCCTTTGGTGGTCGAACGACCCTTTCACAGAGGTCGCCTAAGACCTTCCTGCATATCAGATATTTACATTACGATTCATAACAGTAGCAACATGACAGTTATGAAGTAGCAACGAAAATAATTTTATGGTTGGGTCACAACATGAAGAACTGTATTTAAAGGGCCAGAAGGTTGAGAACCACTGGCCCAATGCCTCCTCAGCCTGGACGTTGCAGCAGGCCTGAATCCAGACTCTGCGGTTTCTATGTTCTCTCCTCTTCCGAACATGTCAATCCTTTGCCTTTGACTAGACATCACCCACCTTTGCTCAAGCTGTACCCCTGCTTGGCATGCCCTCCGATCCAATCCTCCTGGCAGGGCCCAGCCCCAGCTCTGCCTCCTCTCCGAAGCTTTCAGTGTCCACCTGGGCCCTTCTCTGAACTCAGAGAGCACCTACTATGCGCCTGACCTCAGTGCTAAAGTCCCTAATCGTCACGGCAGTCTGCTAGGCAGGCATTGCTATCCCTATTGGCTCCCAAGAGGAGAATGAACAAAGCTCACTCAGCTGTGGGAGCGTGAGCTAGAATTCAAATCCTGGTTCTCCTGTCTCCAAAGTCCAACCTCTTTTCCAAAACTCCCTTTCAGGAGGTGGGTGCAGCTGCCTCTATCTGCTCCCCTGCCTGTGGGAGACCCTCGGCCGGCCCGCGGGGACAGGCGCCACGCCTTGTCCAGCTTCCTTCCTGCTTGGCAGCTTTCAAGGGACAGGCAGGTGATTTTGGCTTTGCAGGCTGCCTCACCTCACCAAGTAACTCTATGCAATAAGGACATTTGGTTTATGGAAAGCCTTAGGTTTAAATATTAACAGTGCATGGGTATGCAGGTCACTGTGGGCCAGGACCTGTGCTAAATGCTTAAGTATTTCACACGGGGTATTTGGAGTCAGTTCTGTATTGGGCCCATCTATCCAGAGGCTACAAGGCTGTATAGCGTTCGTGGGCTCAAAATGCCAGGAGCTTCCTAGTTACTGAGAAACACCGCCCACGGCTCTGCTGGGGAGAGGGTCCCATGCCCAGGCAAGGCCAGTCTGTTACCTGAACAATCACAGAAGGTGAACGCTTGGACTCTGGCTTGCACGTGGGTAAACTGATCCCAGCTCCTCTCTAAACTAGTACCAGACCTTGGTCCTCTCTAGGCTCAGCTTCCTCATCTGTCCAATGGGGACAATTACAGTGCAATCACCACAGAAAGCAGTTAGCACAGGTCCTGGCCCACAGTAACCTGCATACCTATGCACTGTTAATATTTAAACTGAAGGCTTCCCCATAAAGTTAGTTAACCCGAGCAGGTTAACAAAATCTCTTGTCAGATACTGAATCCTGTTTTTGGGGGAGGTGGGGGATCTAAAAACCCAGAGTCCCTATAAGGCAAGGGTTTTGTGAAAAACTGTCCCGAGGGAGGTGACAGCCTGATTGGGGAGCTCCGACAAGCACACTGACTTATATATAGGTCCTCCCGGGCTTGGAATTGGCAAAGGAGAAATGACTTCTGGAGCCCAGACTGCAGGTTCTTGGGCCTCCAGCGGGGTTGGTGGGTGGGACTCTGAGTGAGACACACAGTAGGTACCCCGCTCCTTATTCCTCCTGAAATGTCACTCATTAGGGCAGTTTTACACGTGAGGAGGAAATATATGTATATATAGTATTTAGAGAGAGTCACATCAGTTTTACAGATGGAGAAACGGAGGCTCTAAGCAGGGAAATGACTTATGCAAAGTCACAGCCCTAGAAGAGCACAGAAGGACCCCAATGGTCAATTCAAAGCTCGAACCACTGCCCCGGGACCAGGAGGTAAGATGAGCGTTTGGGAACTTTTTCAGGGAGCTGGCAGTGCCCACATCTTGTTCGGGCAGAGTGACTCCTCGCCCACTGCAGCTGGAGTGACCCTGGGCTGCTGGCTACGGAAGGGAGGCGCCATGCCCAGCCAGATGTTCGGCACACTGGCACCCTGAGCACCCAGGTGACAGCAGGAGCCTCCTGCGCTGACACTTCTATTTACATGGGCAGAGTGTCAGCAAGTTGACTGCCACTCTGGGGGCCGAACGAAGGCGGGGGGGGGGGAGGGGTCATCGGTGTGAAGGACTTTCTCATTGCTCTCCCGTGTTTCTTTGTCACCCCCACCTGAATCTAAAACCAGGGAGTCCTCCTCCTTGGAGTTATGGGAGCTAAGTGTGGAGTGGAGGGTGGGAAGCCACAGATGTTGCCATGTGAAGTGATTCTCTCCAGGAGGAAAGAGCCATTCACACAGAAGCCAGACGGAATGTTTCTAAGCTGCATCATCTATCCTGTCAGTTACCTGCAGGTATGAGCGAGTCTCTGCTTGAGCCTTTAGTCCAGGGGTGGGAAGTGTCTGGCCCTCGGGCCAAATAAAGCAAGGGAGGGAAGAAGGGGGGGAGAGAAACATCGATGTGAGAGAGCCCATCGACTGATTGCCTCGGGCACACCCCCCAACTGGGGGCAGGGAGGGAACCTGCAACCCAGGCACATACCCTTGACCATGACAGGAATCAAACCCTTGACCATTCAGTGTGCAGGCCGGCACTCTAACTACCGAGCAACACCAGCCAGGGCTGTTGTCATTTTTTTATTTCACAATCTAAGGTAAGAGGTCAGTACCCCTGACTAAATAGTCAGGTATTGCATGTTTTTAAAATTCTTGCGCCACACCGGTTGAAAATCGCTGCTCCTGCCTCATCATTTCTCCTCCCAGACATCTATGCATCTCTCAGTCACAGATCAACAGGGCCCTTATCTGAGAAGCCCTCTTTGACTCCATCAGGGCCCGAGCCACCGCAGCACCCATCACAGAGGCGAACTGCTGGGGTTCTGTCACTGCACTAGTGAGGCCTTGTGGGGACCCTGTGGGGGCACCTTCCTCTGCTCTTCTCTGTGAAATGGGGCTAATCTGCATGTAAAGCACAAAGCAGGGCAGGTGGGAGCATTGTGTCAGCCACTGTGGCCCTGGTTTTCATTTTTATAGGTGGGGACGTGGGGGTCAGGGCCACTGTGCCGAGGCTGGGAAGGGGCCAGCCTTGGACTCCAGTCTGGAATCTGGCCTCCAATGTTTGCCTGTCTTCATCCTGTTTGTTCCACTTGTTCACTCTGTAAGCAGCCAATAACAGGTAATGGGCACCTGTGTGCTGGGCCCAGGCCCGCCTTGTATGGTTGATAACAAAAAAGCTTCTCTAGGGAGTGGATAGGCCAGAAATGTGGGCATTGTTAGGTCTGATCAAATAACTGAATCGACACCCCTCCCCTGGGAACTGGCTTTTCAGGCCATTTCACTGTGGGCATCCCCTTTGCTGAGACCACATTCCATCCTCTCCCCTCCCGGTCTCCGCCCAGAAAGAGCCCACCAAAAGTCTTTAAAAGCCGCTGACCCCCTCACTGGGCGCTGGAGCCATCCAGGCTCAGCCACCTGGTGTGCATGGATCGAATAAATTCCTAATCCCTCGACATTCTGGCCTCCTGCGTTCCTCCTCCGGCGACCTAACAGGTATTAGTATAAAATCCTCCAGGGCTCACATTCCCGTTCCTCCACTCGCTGGCTATGATATTACTAAGATCCAACCTCTCCCGGCCAGTTTCCGCCCCTAATAACAGGGAACGGTCAGTCCTCCCAGCAGGAGAGCTGAGACCAGGCGCTGGCTCAGCGCCCGAGAGAGGAGCTGTTATCACCGTCACCATCCTCCTGTTTAAATAACCAACCTGTGCACGTGGTCGTAACTTCTTCCCCCTTCCCGGGTACCCAGAGTCCCCCTTCTGCCCGGGGCCACCACGGCTCGCTCCCCGTGCATCTTAGCGGAGGGGCGATGCACACACTCGCCGACACCTAACCCCACACACACGCTCCTGAAACGGCAGCGCCGACCAACGCTGTTCTACTTTTTGCTCCTTTTTTTTTTAATCTAAAGTATCTTGGAAGTCGTCCTGCATTCGTGCGTACTGAACAGTTTTCATTTCAGTAGCTGCACAGTACGCCACCGTATGGATTATTGTTTAACGTGGTCACCGTTACTCTTATTCGGCTGGGAACTGCGAGGACTCGCGATTCAGAGCTGCAGAGCTGGAGTCCGGACCCGGTTCCAGGACCGGCTCTGCTCGACCTTCCGCACCCGTCTACTCCGGGGTGGGGAGGGGATGTGGTGCGGCAGGACCAGAGTGCGGGGCAGCGAGAAGCGCGCGCGATTCATTCCCGCCGGCGGCTCCCGGCGGGGGAGCCTTGCGGCAGCCGATCTGCTATTACAGCAGCACCAAGTGCGGCGCGCACTTTGGCACCATCCAGCTCGGCACCGGTTACCACACCCTCCGGCCTCGGCACTTACGTCGGGGCAGCAATGCTCAGCAAGATCAGCTACTCACCTCTGCGCCCGCCGCTTCTCCCAGTCACCAAGGACTCCGCGAAGGTTAGGACCGTCCCTGTCCCTTTAAAGGGGCCGAGCCGGGGCTCCGCTACTTCCGCCCCCAAACAACATGGCGTCGGCGGGGAGAGGACGGGGGTGAGGGCGCGGACACGGCACCCCTTAAAAAGATGGCGACGCCCTGGCCGCCGCGTTCGCGCCTTGGGTGACGTCACTTCCGGGGCGGAGGAGACTGAGTGGTGCAGTGAGGGACAAACAAAAGGAGGCGCCGGAGGGGCCCGGAGACCGGTGGCCGGACTGAGCGGCGGGGGCCCAAGGGCTGCCTGCTGGGCGGCCGGGCGCGGCGGGCCCAGGTGAGTGGGTGGGGTGGGGGAAGGGGCGCGAGCTGTCACCTCTCAAAACCCACTCCTACACGCCCGCCGCTGGCTGCCGGCTCCAGGCATCCGGGCGGCTCCAGCTCTCCCACCGGGGCCGGCTCCCTGGGGCCTCCCGCGGCAGGTCCTTCTGTCTGCGTCCGGCGTCCTGCGTCCGGCGTCCCCATCCCCGGGGTCTCTGGGGCCGCACCCTCTCCCCGGTGCCGCGGCGCGCGAGCCCCCTCCCAGGCACCCCGTGCCTCCCTGCGCTCTACATACTGGGAGTTTCCGCCTCGGCTCCCCCAGGTCCCCTTGTCATCCCCTGGGTTCCCCCAGATCCTCACCCCTCCACACGCACACTCCCCCCTTCGTAGAGGTTCCACCTCTGGGCTCTCCCCTTGCCAGCTCCTTTTCACGTTCAAAGGCTCCCCCGGCTCTCTTCCCCTGGGCTCCCGACCCCTCCGTTCCCCGTGGGCCCCTCCTCCTCTTGATCCGGCGGGAACACTGCCCCGACTTGGGGACCGGGTCCCCGGCTAGGCTCTGGGGCCTGTCTGGGCTGGGGTCCCCGGGAAGACCGGTCCTGGGTCTGAGGCCCTGCAGTCTGCCACGTCCTGTGCATCCAGATGGGCCTCGGGGCAGATCTGATGAGTCCGGCCGCCCGCTGTGGGGGAGCTGGGGGTCCCGCAGAGTTGGCTCCCAGGCTGGAGGCACTTCGCCCCGGGTCCCTGTGGCTCATGATGATTCTGCCCCTTTGGTTGACGGCTTCTTCCCCTTGATCTGAACTGGAATGAACCGAGATGGGGCTGGTCCCCGCTGATGCAACTGCTGCCTTTTTTGGAAAGGAAGAGGATGGTTGGGGGTGTCTGGCAGCCTCCCCCTGGTAGGGACTTGACTGAAAGGGTGGGGCCGCCCCTCGGTGACCACAGTCCCCTGACCTACCTCTTCCCCGCCCTACCCCAGGGAGCTTTTTGAGGATGCGGAGGGAGAGAGCTTGATGAGGGAAAGGGAATGTGGGCCTAAAGTGTGGAGGACGGACTTGGAGGAGCGGAAAGCCTCCCAGGAGCCTCTCTGGCCTTTCCAATCAGGACCCCCTATAGCCCCTGCCACACTGTGTCCTGCCCTCCGAGCAGACGGACTGGCAGACAGACAGACCGGAGGCAGACAGGGGAGGCCTGTTGTTCATGACACTTCCTGTGGAGGAGATGGAGGAGTGGGAGTTTGTTCAGAGGGACAGGTGCAGTGCCCATAGCTCACTCACGTTGGCGTTGCCTTTGTGAAGGTCAAGTCTTCCTCTGGCTCACAGGGGAGGCAAGGGCAGATGACTTGTGCCCGAGGCTGGCTTTGGGAAGATGCTGGGCGCGAATGACATGATGTCTGCCTCCCTGTGTTCCCGGTTTTTTTAGAGGCTCTTTGGGGTTGGGTTTAGCGCCCCTCTGCCTTCCGGGGGCTGGGGGCACAGAGCAGGGGCTGAAGACATCTTCGTGACTCCCCCTGGAACGCAACCAGGCGCTTTTGTACTCCATCCCTTTGGCACGCCCATGAGGAAGCGTTTCCTCTGCAGACTTGGAGTGGCCTTGCTGGGCAGTGGGGCTCCTGAGGTTTAACCCTCATAGGTCAGGACTTGGGGACGTGGCTGGGCCCTGGGCTGCCGCCTGGACCTGGCTGGTAGGAGTTGGAGAGAAGGAATCAGTCTGATTCCTGGCTCCTGAGAGTGGAGGTGACCCTGAGTGGGGACACGGAGGCATAGGCAGGAGGTCTACGACCCCCTGAGGAGTCAGGTGGGATGGATGTGGCATCCGAGAGCCCAGCACACTGTCTCCATCCCTGGCTCATTCATTCACTCACGCAGCCATCCTTCAGGAAGTGCCTGGCCTGGTCCGGGAGTGGTGCAAGGAGAGCACGGTTCCTGGCCTGGTCTGAGTTGCGGTCACGGAAGAGAGGCAGACAGGAAAACATCGCTGCAGCTTAATAATAGAAATGTGACGAGGCCGCCCGGAGGAAAGAGGCATTAGCTCCGGGTGGATATGCAGGGTTGGTCACTGTGTGTTTCCTAGAGGAGGAAGGAGTGGAAGAGTCGGTTCAAGGAGTCCAGGGGCTGGAGTTCTAGTCCCGATCTGCCCCAGGCTAGTGACTGGACTGCGTAGTGTGCATCCCATCCTTGCCGAGGAGGCAGGGCGGGGGTAGAGGCTGGCTTAGATGGCCTCTGGCTTCTGCCTCGTGCTTCTCTAGGTGCTTCCCTGCCTAGTTGCCATCACCGGATGTGGGATTACTGATTTACCATCTCCCCGGGGGGCTGGAGAGACCATCCTCTGCTTCTGTCCTCCAGCACAGTGCCTAGCACTGAGTAGGGGATAAGTGTTCATGGCATACGTGGTTGAAAGGCTCACAATCCCTCCTAGCACCCTTCAAGCTACTTTGTCTGCACTCCCCCCGCCTCCTGCCTGCTAACTCCTGCTTGTCCTCTGGCTTTCCCTGATGGCTGGACCACACTCCCAGCTCCGGCGGATATAGATGCTCCCCTACCCCACACGCTCCCCACCCTGCTAACTTGTCTTGTTCATTCTTGTGAACATTTCTGAGCAGAGTGCTGGCATGTAGTAGATGCTCACTAAATGCTTCTTGACTAATAGACAATGGTTGAGCCTTGTGTTTGAGTTGAAATCATGTTTCTTTGCCTGGGTCTGGCTCACCCCGTAATAGCTCACCTCTCTCCACATCCTAGTTCCAGCCCTGGGTCTAGCCAGGTTGACCACTCAGCCTTCTCTAGATGCCATGTTCTTTCCCCTCTAGGCAAACCGGTGCTGTTCCTCCCGCCTGGAATGTTCTTTCTCCAACTCCTACTCTTCCTCAGCAGTCAACTCAGACAACACCTTTTCCAGGGAGCCTGCCCCGACCCCGTCAGTGTGGGTCTCGGGTGTCCTCATGCTCCCATGGCTTCCTGTGGAGGAGGTGGAGGAGGGGAAGTTTGTTCAGAGGCTCTGGGTTCCCCGCAGCAGGGCCCTGGGCTCTCAACAGCCACTGGTAACTGTCGACTTGGCATCTCCCCACTAGACTGTCTGATTCCCTCTTGTCACCCCAGAGCCCAGCTGAGGGCCTGGCACCAAACAGGCACTCAGAAAGTGTTGGCAGCACAGCAGGTAACGCTGATAGTCACACACATCCCTGCTGACAGCAGCTCTTGCTTCCTCGCAGGGAGGCAGCTTCCATGGAGCGAAAGAAATGCCAGGACCCTGCCCAGACAGAAGTGGGCCAGCCTCAGCACCGACAGCCAGCACGCAGATAGCAGAGCCGTCCCCGGGGTAAGGACTGGGCCCCTCTCCCTGCAGGCCAGCGCGGCCTCCGCTCAGGTGCCTTCCCCGGCCTGGGGAGCAAAGGGCAGTATCTCCTCCGTCTCTGTAGTCCTTTGCTCTTCTCACTGTGGGTCCCGGGCGTCCAGGGCAGAGGTGACAGAGGACAGAATTCTTCCTGCTCCTCCCAGCTCAGTGGCCTGCTGAGTAGTACGTGGTTGCTGTCCTCTTCAAACACCAATGTTCAGTTTCGTTGCCAACCTCTGGTTTTTCTCCTTCAGCCCAGATCTTGTCAGTCTGGCTTGTGGATACTGTCTCATGACCACATTTCCCAAGGTGTGTTCCATGGAACGCCAGTTCCTTTGGTCACAGCGGAAAACAACGACTTGTCCTTGCTGCAGGACTTCTCAGAGCCTTGAGTGCATTGACGTGAGCATGATGAGTCTCTGAGAAGGAGCGAGCAAGTCGTGTTTCCCCACACTTACTTCATCGTGTGGATGGACCTCTTTGGGGACTAGGGTTCCTTGGCCTACGCTTTGGAAAACAGTTCCTAAAGGTAGGAGAATGCACTGGTCAGGACCGACACCTTGAAGTCCGACCTGGGTTTGCGTTCAGCTGTCTCCATAAGTGACTGTGGACCGCTGTGAGCTTCAGTTTCCTCGTGGGTAAAAAGGGGATAATATCAGTACCTCACCTTCCTTTAGGATGGTTTGAAGATTAAATATGCTGATACAGGGAAAGGCATTAGCTGAGTGTGTGTCCCAGAGCTCGCTCCCTAATCATGGCGGTGTGTGCATAGACGGCTCTATGGTTTGGAAAACACACCTTTATCCATGACCTCCTTTGATCATTTGAGGGAGCTCAGACAGTGGTTTCACCCCCTTTTTACAGACATGGAAGCTGAGGCTGAGAGGGAAGAAGCAATTTACCCAAACTCATCAGGAAAGAAGGTAGGGACATGGGACTTGAACCTGATCCTGGAATCCCGGGCCAGTTCCTTAGCTCCGTGCCCCAGGCCTCCCTGATCCACCTCCCACCTCGGCTTTCTGTGAAGGGAGGCCTGGCCCTCCCTAGCCCGGATTTGAAAAGAAATAATAATCTTGTTGTTATTATTTTGTGATTACCAACACAGTTGCATATTGATTTTGTTTTTATAATGCTTTGGTTTTAATGTCATGTGGAAAGTGAAAGTCTCCCGAGGTCCCCCTCCCCAGAAGTGTGAGTGGGGAGGGGTATATTCTTCCACATGTATTATTGCTATTGGCTTATTTATCCAAAAGCACGTCCTGTTACCGCTGCTGTTCACCGCTTGCTCTTGCTTCATTCATGGTTACCCCTGGGCCTCGCTCCCAGGCAAGGGGCGGTCTGAGAGTGTGTCCTGTCCGAAGGTCCGGACACTGTGGTTCTCCCGTGCCCATCGCTCCCTTCCCTCTCCATGCGGGGTTCTGAGCAGTGTGTTGGGGCATTGCGGCCGCAGAGGCGGGTGGGAAGTGCCTGG